TAGACGAATACGTGTATCGGTGTTAGGCAATGATTAAAATGTTCAGTTTATCGAATTGCTTCATATGCTGATGAAACGGTAATGATATTTAGTCATCAATTATCTGTTGTCGAAATGTTGTAGCATAGACAAATCAGCAAGCAACTGTTCAGTGTTCAGTCATGCAAAGAATGTGAGCTCAAAAATCGATACGTCGCACCACGTTTTTACGTTTCATTTCACCACCTCTGTTTCAAGTCTCATGCGCAGCAGCAACGGCCCCCAAGTTCGTATAGCTGCGACGAACGTATAGCTGCGACGAACGAGAGCACACCCCGGTCCGCCACAGCTTTCAGCCCACGCTGCAGATGGAATGGATGCTCTTATACGGGTCCGATGCGCCACCTCATAGCAGCGACCGGCGAGCTGAAAAGTAGCCGGGGACATGGCGCACCCGGCTGCAGTTGCTGGTTGTTATGGTCAAAGACAGAGGTGACGTTCGTTCGCCGATAGTGCGTCGGTAATGATATGCTCAGAGGCGCGCCTTTGATGGGTCACGCAGGACTGTGTGGTGTTCCGGCAGGACACGCAAGGTGCGGAACTGTGCGTGACTGGCCAATCAGCAAGTTTCCGCGAAATTATCATGTGAATACTGCTAAGAGATGTGTGAAGGTTTGATTGGAAATACTCTGCCGGGTCTTCTTTGACGGGACTGAGGTATGCGCTGGTTCTGAAAATCCGTACAAACAGTGAAGCTGGTGGGCTTTCGTTGCCCGGTCGATATTTGCCGACTAGGAAGATCGATTTTCTTCAAAAGGCAGTTTTCTTGATGCCATACGAGACCCGCTGGCTGTAGTAAGGACTACTTTTGCTCAGATCGGTGAGATGAGATCATTTCAAGAGGTAGCCGTGAAGTTTAGCCACCCATGGCCATAAAACAAATCAAACGCAAGGCCAGTGGTGGATAAGACATCATTCAGAAAAAAAAACAGCCGCGGAAAGGTTTTGTTCATTTATCATGGAAGATGGAAGACTCCGAATGGGGCAACAGGTCAAAATGGAAGCAAATAGTCATATGGGATCATTAATTACATTCATGTCGTTTTAACCCGGCGGCCGCTGGGCCTCCGCGCCACCCGCCGGCCGCTGGGGGGGCATATAGTTGCCCCCCCTTTACTTCTGCGACGATATCGTCGCAACGCGAAGAGATAGAGAAGCGAAACTTTGTACACATCTTCCTGAATACCTAGCCAAGGTTGTGTCCAAATTCGGTGTCGATCCCATTTGAAATGACGTCACAGTGACGTCATAAGTGAAATCATAGATTTGCGACTCTCATATTCCTCACGATACATCAGATATATGGGACCGAATATAAAGGGTCGATTATTGGTCAGAAACTAGATGGAAGTGTAGTTAGATGTTTTAGGATGACAGCAGGTGCTGTCTAGTTCATTTACAGTTGAGTTTCATGCTCAGCGTCATCAGAAACGGTCCATATCGGAAAACGACAAAACTTTATGACGTCACTGTGACGTCATCTTAGGTGCTACAACCACCAAACTTTACTCAAACATTGCCTAGGTATTAGAGTTGCAAAGTTTTCCCCAAAGGCTGCTACCGGCACCGCCCCGCCCCACAAAAATTTTCTGGGATACCGGCATGCTACCATGCCCCAAGCAAAAAAAACCGCCAAATTACCGGCATCCTAAAAAAACCTGCATTCTTGATTCTAGCTTACCCCTACAAGAGATGCCACATTTTGGCAGTTTCAGTACCTGTCCCACCCAGCAGCCATCCATTGTCCAACCACAAATACCGTCAGGCTGATTTTGGCTGAGTTGGCCCCACAAATACCCAAAATTTTGAAACTCAATTCCAGTCTATACTGTTAAAATATCACCTGTAATCAAAGAGGTATTGCCTACAAAAAAAAAACTAACACATTCATCAAAAAGGCGAGGACAAAAAGAACTTGAATTACTGAAATGTGTTTCTAAAGACTGGACAGTGAGCATTGAGCAGTAATCACATTTACATTTCACAGGTGTTCTACTTTTCCACATTCTCCTAAAATGTTGCAGGCACCAGCCAAATGTTTAAAATCTAGATGGTCAAAACATAAACAAGTACAGATTCGGCCATCTTCCTAACTGAGGAAGCGAGATCAACATCTACTGTTTCCTATCCACCATGGCTTGCTGGTTCGTGAATAAGATACGAATCATGTAAAAAATGAGTTAATAACTCACTGGTCCTGAGAACAGTCACCAAATAATATGTACAAAAACGATATCTTCCATCTTCTCCAACCTCAAACGTGAAGAAACACAAGGGGTTTGTTCCCGTCGCTCCTCTAACCTCCTCCAAGCTCCTCTAACCTCCTCTCGTTTCAAAAAATCGTTCCCGTCGCTCCTCCAAGCTCCTCCAAGCTCATCTTGACTTCACATCTCACCACCACTATTTGCCTCCTCCCTCATCCCAAACGAAAGTTGGTTTTTTGGAGGAGGCTCTTGCGTAGACGCATTTGGCGCACGTAATACAAATGTGAATTGTTTATAAATGCGATTTGAAGGAAGTGGAAATGATTTTAGTGATTGATGACGATTGGATATCTGTAAATAGTAATGTTTGACATTAATCTAAGGTTATTTTATTAGAAAGCGATTATTATCTCTTGATTTATGTTTGCGCGCCATAAATCGCCGACCGTTACAGCCCGCAAACAGCTGATTTTCTCGCGAAAATGTTCCCGTGGCTCCTCTGAAACGGCTCTCCTCCAAGCTCATCCAACCTCATCCGAGATTTTTTGGGAGGAGCGACGGGAACAGACCCAAGGTCTCAGAGGGCCTGATTTCGAAACAAATGCGCCATAACAGAGGCTTTTAACCAGCTGAATAAAACGCTGCAAAAAAAGTTTTAGACTGCAAGCCACTGCCTCGTGAATGATTATATTAATAAAAATTATCCAACACAATATTAAATTATAATGAAATCAACAATGTGAGTGTAATTCACTACAAGAAAATTCATTTCTCTTCAGTTTTTCAACCAAAAAAGGGTATATGAATGAACCTATTACGTCATCAGATTACCTACATCCATTCATTAGGGGAGAGAGCATCTTAAAAGTAAATCCTTGGTTGTATTATTTTGCGCCACTGTGTCAATTTTGCCTGCATGATGTGTTTTCTTGTAAAGATACGACAAAATGTCAGTTCAAATCCATTTTCATTTAATTATGGGACCAAAGTCAGGCTCAAGGCTACCTAACGCCTGCCTTTTCAGCTGGATTTTCAGTGTCAACAAATTCTTTGTAGAGTTTCTCAGACCACATCTCATTATCTCAGGACTCAAGGCCAGTTTCCAAACAGTGTGTTTTTTGGTGTTTTGATTCTGCCTTTTCCCCTAGGGAATGTTGTCATGAACATTTTTTGTTTGTGTGTGTTATACATATTACCTACCATTTGACTTACTAATTGATCGTGCTTTTGCAATATGAATGAGTACCATTACAATTACTCCTTTTATAGACCACAGTAGATTCTTAACAATTCTAATTATAACCAAGCCTGTGAAATGCTGAGGTCCATGTGTTACCCCTACCCTTAGCAATGGAATTTCTACCACAAAATGTATCTTGCAGTGGTTAATATTGCTGTTTTATTACAATTTGAGAGCCTCTTAGTGCCCAAAGTTTGAATCTTTTGCTGATATATTTTTTTTGCTCAAAATCAAAAATACCGGCATGCTACCGGCAAGACATGCCATATACCACGAAAAAACCTGCGGTAGTGAAAAATTACCGGCATGCCGGTAGTGCGGTAGGGAAATTTTGCAACTCTACTAGGTATTCATTTGAAGCTATGCCAAGTTTCACGTTCGTAGCTTATCAGGTTTCGGAGATATTTCACAAAGCGTAAAGGGGGGGGGGCAACTTTATGCCCCCCCCCCCCCCAGCGGCTCGTGGGTTAAAGCCGTAAAAATCTGCCAGAATCATGACAATGAGTCCGACTCATTTCGGTCATCAGGTGTCGCTTTTCAATCTTTGAAAATGACCCATGATACATAACTGAATGGGGTAACGATATGGAGAGAGCTTTGAATCATTGATTTGAATAACATTTCGCCACATCAAAGACAAATGTGTTGGGAAGTATCAAGCACCGTTAGTATATTCAAATTGGATACGAAGCATCATGGGTCCACACCAGAAACACGGGGTATTCTCTGGATTTCCCCTCAGTATTACGCCGCGTTACCAGCTCCGAGGGCAAGAGAAGCACCAAGCGGTAGAAATACACCTCGTATCTGGCCGAATGTACTGCGATCGCGAGAACGCGTTCGATCCGTCCACCGAATGAAATAAATGGGTGAAACTGAGCAGCCCGACTGGACTGCCGGCCCGGCGTGGGTGTCAGCGGTGCGTGGAGTACTGCACTGCCGCTCGGTCACGACTACAGCAGCCGCATGCAAGGCTCGCTGCCGACAAATGTCCTCCGCCTGCAGCGGCGCGCGGGCCGACAGACCACCCGAGGTCCTCCGCAGCGCGACTCACTTCAGTCGCACGGCAGGGGGTCTGACGACCAGCTGCGGCAGACGCGGCCCACATGTCACCGCCACTGCCGCCCGTTTCCGCTCCATAGTTGCCAGTTTCCGGCGGTCTAAAGCCGACAGCCGAACGCCGGACAAATTTATGACCCCATGCTTATCTGGCTCAGCGCGGCCTTTTGTCAGCTGCTACAAATTCATAGCAAATTCAGGGTGGTCGCCAGATATGTTCATGTCAAAAGGGCGGATAAATATCAATATCAAGAAGGCCCAAATGAAATATGGCACGATCAATGTCGTGAGTTAGATGTGTATGACGAAATCGCCAATTCGACAAAGGAATATTGTGTTTGGTTATTACTAAATTGATTAAAATGTCTGCCTTAAATGGCGTGATTAACACCATGATACAAATGCCGTGATGATGTGCGTTTGAATATTAAATCTGTGCAATGATGTGTTTTCCTTACCAGTGTCGAATCCAGAAGCAATCCTTGACAGCAATCCGAGCGCCACAGCAAATCCAACGAACTTCATTTCTTTTCTTGTTTGGTCACATTGACACCTAATTACCACTCTCGGCGTACACAAGAAATAAACGGTAACGGACCGCACTTATTACATCCCATAAGTTCGCGAGCGCTATACGCGGTGACTCGCACACCAACAATCCCCTCCTCGGGCCCTCCGGCGCACCGAGACACCCACTGGCGTTTGCGACTCACGTGGGACTCGTATCGACTCACTGGTGACTCATCCCACTCACTTTTGACTCCGCTGAGTCACTAATGACTCCACCCAGTCACACCGACTCCGCTGAGTCACCAGTCTCCTCTCGCACTCGTCTACCGGTGCTCGAACCGGCCCGCTACCCACCGGCACTTGACAGCGCTCGGTTCGTCGGAGGCGACGCGGCGGTCCGTCGACGTCCATCGGCAGCGGCGCCGCTCGGCCAACTAACCGCACCAGACGACCGACGGCGGCGCCGGCGGCGGAAGCGGCCCCCCTGCCTCCCCGCCGCCGCCGCCACCGCCGCCGCTGCTTCTCCTGCAGGGTGTTCGTCTTTAGTGTTCTGCTTCTAAGGCTTCCACCTCTGTCATCCTGGCCGTTTGAGACGGTGCTAGCTTTCGGCTGTGATCTCTCGTCATCATCGCTACGATTGTTTCGATTGGTGCTGTCGCGCGGTTGTAACACAACAGTGTCTATCTCCTTTATCGTTTGTGTGAGTGTCGTCACCACAGCGCCGTCATCGTCATCGTCACACGTCACCGTCATCTCTCCACCGCTACCGCCTAACCGAAGATGGAAGACAGATCAGACCGGTTCAGCCGTGCAGGGGTGAGATACGGGTGCCGTACACTGCCGGAACGCTTGTTGCCCTCCGCCGGAGGCAGCGTGCAACGGCGTGGGCCCTATTTCAATCTGGGATGTATACAGAGTGTGATGGGGAGCTTGGACGATTGGGATATTGGAAGAGCGACGACAGACTATAGTAACGGATAAAATGATTTACTAAATCTTTTGATTTCATCTGCTCCTGGCAGCCACTATTTATTTTTATTTGCATTCGTCAAGCAACTGTCACACATCACTGGACACTCCAACCAAATATAATAAATTCTTGATTAAGTAAATGTGAACGATTTTATTACATTCATTTCGCATATAGCTCCCACCACAGAAAGCTGAGATCAGAGCTGATTACCAGGCGCCGATCGTTTTTTCCGTTGACGAGCGGACCAGTCGGCCGCCGGGACGTCAGCCGCCCCCGCGCGGCGCCCATCGCCCGGGGCGGTGTCAGACTGGTGTTGAGGCCCATCTATCCACCGGTCCGTTCGATTATTCAGCCGGCGAGCTGGCGGCACAAATTATGTATGCAATGTCAGCAGAGTGGCGGAATTAACGCCCCCGATCCCACCGTCTCTCTCCCCCTCTCGGCCCTCTCTCCCCGCCGCTCAGTTTGGCCGTCTCCAGAAATGGCTCAGTCGATCTCGTTGGTCCATCCAATCGTATCATGTGACACGTGCCGCGCGCCGTCTGAGGTGTTGCATACATGAATGCCGGTCGCGACTCCGGTCAATTTCAATCAGCTGAGATCAGAGGGGATGTGGGGGTGTGATACCCCCCCGTGGGTGGCCTCCCCAGCGGATAGCTCCCCACCGATCGACCCCCCGCTTGATCCAGCCTTGAATGGAGGAGACGGCCCACGCTTCTCATGGGATGCTGAGAGACAAGTGAGAACACAGTGCCGGGCCTTTGAAAGCAAAACATAATGTACGCATATCCAATAAATCACATAATGCATACATATCCAATAAATCAGCCTGCTTTGTCCGAGCTCAACGGAACTAGGAAGCTGAGGACTGAAGGGGAAAATTACGTTAAAAAAAAACGATTACGGAGAAAGGATAGGTAACTTTTTCAATTATGCCAGTCTTCGTTGAATGCTGAGGAGGCTTGAGTATTTAGTTCAATTGAAAAGTTTTGTTTTATGGTGGCTAATGAACAACTAGATCGTAATACCTGCTAGACAACAGGTGTGAAATATGATAGGATTATGACACAGGGCAGGAGCTGAAGGTGAGGCAATTGCTATTTGCTTCATTAATCAATAGCACGAATTCCTCATTTTAATAACACACACAGCATTCTGCAACCTTTGTCTGCTTATTTGATAATCACCTGTTTCCTCTCGGTCAGTTCAGCTCTCTCGGGACCGTATCGTAGCGGACCCAGGCGGCACCCTTGGTCCAGCCCGCGCGCACTATTTCAGTTGCGACACGCGGGGTAGGCAGACGACCGGGCCCGGCAGACCGGAGCAGCACCAGCGCCACAGAGCTGAACCCAGCTGCTGAGAGCGGGCCTTTGAAAGCAGTCGGCCGTCCGTCTGTGTTGTTGTTGGCCGGCTGCCACCTCTGCAGTGCTCCAAAGGGGAATGCGTCGGAACCGGGGGAGGGTGGGGAGGGCGGCCGCCGCGTGCGACGTGCTGTGCCTCTGCGCGACGCGTGGTCTCTGCAGTGTTGTGTTGGACAGACGACGGCTGACGATTGAGGTGGATGAGGGGTGGGAAGAGAAGCGAGGGACGAAGAGACTGATGTCGGCGGGAGAAGAGACCGAAAATGAGAGGCGAGATACTGAAGGCCAGAGACGAGAGACATGAGCGATGGGGCCAATCATCATCCTCGAACAGTGAGAAAGGAACGATGAGAGCAATAACTGCAGATTGCAAACATATCCCCCATATCAGACCAATATTTCAGGAACAGCTCTTTTCGACGGCACACCATGCGACATAAAATGAATTTGTGACGACAGAAACTGATCCCACCTTTGATGTGGCGTTTTTATAGCGGAGGCAAGGCCCGATGGCCATTTTATATCGCTGCCGACCCTTGTGAAATTGCCTCTAACGTCACTCATACCCTATTCGAAATTCGTCGCCGTCTGCCTGTTTGATGGAACAGAAATAAGGCTGATGTATTGGGCCATTTTCACCGATGGCCACCGCCGCGTCCTTCGATGGTTATCACGTTTGGTCGGCTCCTGTGGCCGGTCATGCGGAGAACGATCCTCGTTGAGGAGGTGTGGGTATCGGCCGCCTGCCCTCCCCGCCTATCGGAAGCGGGGGTGGAGACAAACGGACCCGGACGGTGACCCGCGGAGGACAGCGAGGATTGATGGCGGCGGTGCAGAGAGGTGCGACATGCAGACAGATTATTGGCTGTTGTGGTGGTCAATGGTCATGTATCTATGAATGATAACGTCGTTGATCTGCCTTTACTGTGTTACTATGTAATTGTGTTCCACCTACACCAAGTATATATACAGTACAAAATCATATGAAATCACATTAAATAAAATATAAGATTTAAATATCTAATCAAATGCAATAAGGGCAAAATGTAACACCCGCCGGGCGTGTAAATCAAAGGTTGCATAAACATAAAACGCAATCTGCACTGTAAAAAAAGTTTACAAACTACCGTGTTAATTGCTCAACAAAAAGATAGTATTAAGACACACAAAAGCTGAAGATAGCAATGAGGTTAGTAAACGGTTTGTATGTAAGCACATTTATTTGTGGTAAACAAACATATAAGTTACAAAACTAAGCCAAGGTGTGTCAACTAGTGGTGTGTCAGCAAGCACTATGCGTGTTTTATACACTATATGCCACACTTACGCAAAACGTGTTTTCGAACAAACTATACATAGCAGGGGACACTAACATACGACCTTTTGTACAACATGTACCTTTGTGCTAAAACACACTTGAAGTTATTTGACAACTGCGGTGCAACTGCGTCACGTCCGCCATGTTTTTTTCGGCGCGCGTCCTTTGGCTTGTGCGGCTTGTGCTGTGTCCGCGTCGTGCGGGTCTCTGATGGTGAGTAAGGTGTTGCCAGATATAAATTTGATGTAATTATGCTTCTGTGTTGTATGCCTTGAATTTTGTCAATCGATTTATCTTTATTCGGTGCTAGTGATAACCGTGATGATGCAATGAATGTTGTGTGAATGAGGGACAGCATTATGACCACCAACTGTATCTTAGCAAAATATAGGTTAAAATATAGGAATTCTATAGGTTATTACTGAGGTTACTAGGTTGCTGTAGATTATACTTTGATACAGCCCCCTAATTATTTAATTGCACATGAATAAGGTGGCCCAGTAAGACAAACCCGACAACTATGTCTAAGGACAACTCTAGTAAGATCTGTCTAACGCATTTCAGGTGGCCTTGCAGTCATAGGATAACCTTTATTGGGCAAAAACTGCCCATTTTTGTCCACCTAAAAATATTTTTTATTTAAAATTTCTTTACGTTCTTTCCTGTTCAGTGAAAGTTGAAATGGGCATCATTTTCTGAAATTTATTGGTAGGGTCCCAAATGATAATTTTTGCAACATTGAAGCATGGGAGTTGCAACTTGCCACATTCTCAAAATGACTGGTGAGAGTCAATTTAATTCAGGAAACAGGTTAACTCCCCTGGTTCCGCCAGTGTATAGCTGGAATGGAACTTGCATATAAAGGCAATCATTTAAGTATTCGGTTCCAAGGTACAGGGGTGGCAGAAGGTGAAGCACAACAGGGGAATGTGCCACACAAAATTGTGGCTGGGGCACCTGGGTCGAAATTTCCAATAGTACCTTACCTTTCCGCTGTGGCTAGATTAGTTATATCTATTGATTAATGTTAACCAATGGTGTTAACTTCAATAACCACCTAAAATAGCTAGAAAATTTACACCTAAACCAAATTATGAACACTGATGGGTATAGGCACATAGCTCGGACAAAATATAACCAAACCTAACCAGACCTAACCTAACCTTACCTAACCTAACCTAAACTAACAAAACCTAACCTAAACTTACCAAAAATACACCTACAACCTACATTGGCAACCGAAAGCTACTTGTGCCGTTATTGAAAGTAGACTAAATTAACTAATAACAGGAAAATCAGCATTTAATTAGCTTTTTGATGTTTGCAAATAACTAACAATGATATTTCACATCGAAAAACACCTATACTATACCTACATTATTACTAATGTTGGAACAGGTACCGTTGGAACTTTTCACTGACACCCGACATTTAAAGAAGAGCATATGGAATGGAAGATGAGTTACCGCATTATTGCAGATAAAATTGTTAACATTGATTTTCTTCTATGGGGGTTTCAATTCTTGGGGATGCTTTTCTATGCGAGAATTAGATATTTACTTTGCCCTTACATCCTGAGGTGCCTTCCGCGGTCCGCCAGTGGCCCGGGAACGTTTGAAAAGTTGAGGGGGCAGGTTAAAAAGTTGAGGGGGCAAAAGTTAAAACTCAAAAGTTCTATATTTCTTTCTTTCCATGCAACGCCATAAGGCTAATGTTGAATTTTCCCGAAAGTTGGAGGGGCGCTGCCCCTCCAGTCCAAAAGTGGGAGGGGCAAATGCACCTGCTGTCCCTCCTCTTCCCAGGCCTATGCCTTCTGCTGCTGCAGCTTAGACATGTAGTTTAACTACCCACTGACTAAGAATGCAGTTCACATTGCCTTACTTTAATGGATCACAAGGTGAAACTCTTGATTATCACTTGTCTAGATATTAAGTATAATCCAGATACTTTTGATATCGATCAATAGAGCAGCTCACACTTAGTGTGTGCTGTAAAATCTGACATGGGAGATGTGTTAGGCAAGGGAAAAGCAAATATTTTAGGCCCACCCCACTTCAGTTGGGAAAACAGTAATATGTTCCTTTTTTTAAAGCTTCTAGCAGGGGCGACGCCACGGTGCAACGTCTGGAGGGGACATTGACCATTTTGGAGGGGACGAGGACCATTTCAAGTCGATTCTTTCCATGCAACGCCATAGGCGTAATGTTAAAATCTTTAAACAGTGGAGGGGACGAGATCCCCTCCATCCCCCCCCCCTGTGGCGACGCCCTTGGCTTCTAGGGTGGCCACTAAAAACTTACATTCCGAAGTGAATTTCGGCTCACTTCGGCTAGTGCAGAGGCGGGCAGAGGCATTCAGCGTTATGCGTCATGTAGCCACTTCGTCATATCCCGGACGTCACAGATCAGCTTTCGTAGCCAAGATACCTATAAGAAACTTCGTAGCCGCCGTTTCTAGTCGGAATGTAAATTGGCGGAAATGGCCAAGATAGGCCAAGGTGAAGGAGTTTATGCCCTGGTTTATGGCGGGCGTTTTTGGAAATCTAGAATAAAAATTACGATTTTTTATTTGAAACAAATAATGTGGGTTACACTGTAGGTTTTTGGGCAAGTCACTGTAGTATGAATCAACAAATTATCTTCCAAAAATAGCAAGAATGCAAAGCTCTCCGGGTTACCTTGGCCGTTTTTCCGCCTATTATATTTGGGCTATCTCGGCATTTTCGACACTACCGCGGGTAACTACTGGCCGCATGACCGGAGATAGGCCTGTTTATCTTTAAGAATCAGTAAAAAAGGAGATTTGTTTGTACAGTGGCTTGCAAAATTAATTTTTGATAAGTAAATCCCTGGCCTAAGACCTATCCCTTTTCGCAACTAGCGAGTAGACCGCATCATCAAACATCCGTAGGTTGTAGTTTAGATATAGTTAGGTTAGGTAAGGTTCTGTTAAGTCTGGTTTAAATATGTTTATTAGTCCCATTTTACTGTTTAAACGACATTTAATAGTATATTTCATAGTTTTACTGATATTTCCTTTTTGGTCTTATGACGTCATTATTGCCCACACATTGCATATGTAGTATTTTTCTTTTGTGAGTCATTTCATCCTTGATTAGGCGCGCATTATTGGCATGACCCCGTTACGAGAAGATTTCAATTTTTGTCGATTTTTATATATTTTAGGTGAGTTAGTTATCAAAGTGTTTAATTTTTGATGTTCTGTGAATAATTGAAAGCCATCAAAGTGTGATCTAATGCACTGAAAGCCATAGGTGTGGGAACAGGGGGGGGGGGGGACGGCCGGGCCATGGCCCACTGCACCCACCTTTCAGCTACGTTACAATCAGATCGGATACTCAGCTCGACTTGCCCCCCCCCCCAAACACACTTCTCAAAACGTCCCTACACCTATGCTGAAAGCCATTTTTGGAGGGTGGTGTTATTTTCCAAAATTTGACAAGGCCTTTTCCGTCCCGATTTATGGAAGTTTCATCCCTATTTTTGGAAAATGCCCTTCTATTTTTGGAAGAGCATACTAAAAAAAATGGAAGCTTCCAAAAATGAAACAGATGGCCACTGCCACTGTTTACCCAACTGATTTCCAGTCTGCAAAACATGGCAGGGAGCTCGACAAGATTTTCAGGGCAGACAAAGTCCTGCCCCGAATCAGAATGCTGAGTCCAGGGGTAGCCCAATTCCTGCCCCTAATGATGCAAATAATGTAATGATATTATGATGTAGGAAGCAGTGAGAAGCTGAGAAAATCACTTCCGTCAATTTTTTAAACTTCTGCACCAGATTTTCCTGCTTCTGCCCCAGTATTCCGGAAACCTGCCCCTATTTCTGCCCCGACCTGCAGTGTCTGCCCAGACAAGATCTCGTCGAAGAATGCCACATTTTGCAGACTGGACCAGGACTGATTTAGTGTGGTGATCACCCAGCTATATCACTATTGTTAGCAGGATGATTGGTGTACCTACCTATGTATGGATGGATGTATGGATCAACTTCATGATTTGCCAGCTGATTTGGTTATCAGTATTGTGATCAGCCAGCTGACAGCCTTTTCAAAAAGTTGTTCAGCCAGCTGACTGCATAATCATTTTCATGATAAACCATAGGGCTGTTCGGGTGCTGCAAAATATTTTGCGCGACTGTGACATCACACTTGTATGATGTCACTGCCCATCCCGTCGAGCAAAATCTTTCGCAGAACGCACCGAACACCTCAACATATTTTGCGCGAGACAATCGTGCCGCTCCATTCCAGCAAGCAGCGACGTAATAACTAATGAAAAACTTCACCAACCCATTTCCAATTTATGCACCGACAAAATAACACCAAACACTGCATAAATTCACTAGTTAACACTGCACACTTCGCCACTGTACGTTGTCTGCGCCAAGTCTGCACCACTTTTGCCTCCTGCATCCTGAAATTTTAGGATGCGCGAAGCTGAAAGATTTTGCAGATGCCGATGTCACACATGTGACGTCATACGGTGGTGGGCGGAGCATAAGGCCTGAAAGTTCCCTACTGCGCATGCATGCTGCAAAATTTTACAATAGGATGTGCGGGCCGAACAGCCCTCATCATGGAGGGCATCTTTTCCTTATCATGTTTTTGATTGTGTTTGGGATCTGGCTACAGGTGACATAACCTTTGTGAAATTTTGTGATTTTCCAAAAGTGCTGCAAAATAGGCGTAAAATGATCACATTTGTGATTAATCACATTTGTGATTTCCTCCCCGTAGTTTGCCCAACTGAATCATAAGTCATAACAGGCTTTCCTCTTTTCAGGCAACTGTAGAAGTGGTTCTGCGTTGTACAGTTCCATTATGTCTGTTTTCTTCTAGCTCAATTGCTTTGTTTTGTCAGCATATCAATAACCACTTCAAGGATAAATCTGAGAACTGCAACTTATTTCTCTGTCCGCGTTGTACACAAGGGTTCACAACTGGACGTTACTGGCTGAGACATTATGAAAGAACCCATGCTGTCAAGCAAAGTACGTCACAGTCGCACAAAGAGAAAGGAAGGCAAAGTCTGGAGGAGTCACCTTCAATCAGTACTCATTGTCAGGAAGAAGCTGAGGTTGAGACTGAGGCCTGGTGCTTGGATGATCAGGGTGAGAAAGGCTCTACAGCAAAAACTGAAGACAGTAGCCGGGAGAAAATAGCACGTTTCTTGCTTCGATTGCAATGTGAGCATGGGATGTCACGGGCTGCAACATCTTTCGTGGCTAGTGAGATAGGAGAAATCGTCGACACCGCTCTTAAGGAGCAGAATGAGAGCAGAGCATCAAAGTCGTCTTCAGTTAAGCAGGCTTGTGAAGAGTTTGCAAGCGAGTATAAATTGAGCAAATTCTGCCATGAGGAGCTCTGCTACATTGCACCTACGACTCAGATCCTTACCACAGGGGGTGGTGAATTCCAATCCAGCTATCAGTATGTGGATGTCAAGAAACAGCTGACAAGTCTCTTGGAAAATGGCAGGCTGGAAAACTGCAAACGGGACAGATTGGTCAAGCTTGTGCTCTACTTTGATGAATTTGGTGTGTGTAACCCTCTGCGGAAGAAAGCATCTGATTATAGTCTGGGTGGTTGCTATTTTGCGGTCGATGAGGGCTTGTCAATGTCGGTGCTGAGTGACATTCATCTCCTCCTACTATGTCCTACAAAGCTCATCAAGCTTCATGGTTTGAACACAGTCATGAAGCCTGTGACAGATTCCCTGTGTGACCTCTTGAACAATGGCCTGGATACTTGTGGCACTCATTTTGATATCAAAGTGGAGTTTGTGTGTGGTGACAACCTGGGAGTGCATAAGATGGCGGGCTTCCAGGAATCATTTTCGTCAGGGCAGCGACCATGCCGAACATGCCACGCCACAAATGAGGACTTTGGTACAAAGCTCACAGAGCAAGAGCTGACCCTTCGTACTGAGGAGGAGTACCAAGAAGAGCTGAACATGTGTGAGAATGGAGACAATGAGGAATCACGAAAAGCATTTGGTATCAACTCAAAATGTGTGTTTGATGAGCTGAAAGACTTTAAGGTCACAGAGATGTTTCCACCAGATATCGCGCACGATCTGTTTGAAAGTGGCGTAGTCAATCATTCCTTGGCTCTGGTGCTATCATACCTGATTTTTCAAATCAAACTCTTCACATTCGCCTCAGTTCAAAAGGCTATGAAATCCTTCTCATATGCGAGAGTCGACAAAGCGAACACTCCTCCCATGCTTCAAGCAAAGGGGCGCAAAGTGCTCGTCAAAGGCACTTTCAGTCAGTGCTGGACTTTCCTCCGAGTTCTCCCTTTCATGATCGGTCCACTGGTCCCACCAGATCAAAAGGCGTGGCTTCTTGTGACCGGTTTGCTTTCTCTTGTACAACTCATTTGTGCTCCACGTATGGACGGTGAAATTCTTGCAAGAATGCAACCTTCAGTAGAGCAGTGGCTGCGTGAGTTCTGTGGAATGTTCCCGGACTTCAAAATCAAGCCGAAGTTCCACTACTTATTACATTACCGGCACTGGGCAGCACAAATTGGTTCCTTGAGGAAAGCTTGGACTATGCGTTTTGAAGCTAAACACCAGCAGTTCAAGATCTACGCATCTCGAGCACACAACACCAAGAACATTTGTAAAACCCTGGCAGTGCGACATCAAGAAGCGGTAGCTGCATGCGAAGGAAAGCAAAAGAAGATGATGGGGAAGAAATGCAAGCCATGCCTAGTTACAGGTGCATTCGGATGGGAGGTGGATGACCGAGCTACGTACACCAAGATGGCAGTGCTTGCGGGACAGAAGTACTGCGTCGATGATGTGCTGATCGTGAGAAACCCGGCTGCTTCAAGCTCAGAGAGCTGTGATCTTCTTCGCGTAGCATATTTTCAGTTTGATGCAGTAAACCATGTCAAAATCATCGGTGACGTCTTGAGGGCGCTTTCGTTTGATGAGCACTATATGGCATACCGTGTGACTAAGGGCGAGATGATGATGATCCCTTCTGCTTGGATTTTTGACCCCACTCCGCTGGCTACTTATTCAGTGCAGACCGCAAAATACGTGCCCCTCAGGTACCAGATACCAGGTCTCCGAATCACCTCTGAAAGGTGAGTAATCTGTGCATTTTGCTTCAATTTGAAGTATCAGATTTACTGCGAACTCGCGACTGCTTGTATTGAGCAGTATTGCAGCTATTTGCTTCGCTGTTATGGCTATTGTGAGTGCAAACTTACACTCACTCGGGTCTTACACTGGCTCTGATATCTGACATGTAGCTAGCGGCCAGTTATGTGGCTTCCACGCGTCCATGGGGTGAAACTATTGCATGAACGCACGTGCACACACCGCCCCTATATCTCGGGAACGGATGAGGCGATTGTGCTCAAATTTGCTACGAAGGTAGAGACTGATCCGACATGCAGCTTCGACAACACTGGGGGCGTTACTGCACGTGCTTACCCCACCTCCTTCGAGCCGGGTCTTGGCTTGAATAGATTCGAGGTTAATTGCTGAATCTTTTTTGAGGATGGAGATGCTAGTTCGGAGCATTGTGTTACATATGATGATGAAGATGATTAGCCAGATGCTCATTATTTAGGATCAAAATTGATAGAATAGTTGTATTACGTTTCACCCACGGGGCTTCTTCGGATACATATGACAAACATATGTATCCGAAGAAGCCCCGTGGGTGAAACGTAATACAACTATTC